GTGTGCAACTTGAACATTTCTGATTAGCATATTTTTTACTTCCATTATTTGTAGTAAGAGAGACGGTGTACTTACGTTTTCCCCCGTATAAGGCAGTGGTTCCTACATCACTTTTTTATTTCCATTGAAGGTAGTGAAACGTCTTCTAAAAGACGTCACATCTTGTTGCGTATAAGGCACTAGCTTCCGCTTCACCTTTTTTTCCTGTTGAAGGTGACGAAACGCCTTCTAAAAAATGCCACATCTTGATAAGTGCTGTCATGTTTTCTACAAATGGCCTCTAAATGCAGCACTTCACAAAAAAATGAGCCTGCGATTGTTTTGTAGAAAAAACTGCACTGTCATCTCATCATCGGTGTGAGACTGTAGTCGTCTTGGACGACTGGACGACTGGGAGTATGGTTCCCTGTAATTATGTGACTTCTTAAATTGAGTGATTATTTATATTTCATATTTGGTTTGTATCATTAACCTGAATTTGTGAAGACTTTATGTTTAATACTACTGGCAACTATTACAGTGCTCAAGGGTTTTAGTTTTGTACCCAAGGAAAATAAAATATGGCTCCTAAAACTTCACTGGGCCTAGTAAATAATTATTGGAATAAGAAAGGAAGAAAAATAAATTTATTTTGACTGATAATTTTTATAAAAATGACTCCAGCCTGTGTTAGTGCCATGCTAATATTACTTACTGAAATGAGTCTTACTCAAAGTGAACTCTTCAGTATTCATTTCATTAATCCCTGTGTACTTCATTACATTTAGTTTCAGTGTTTCGTATATATTAGCTTTAGCCACTGGTTGTTAAAAGTTGTTTTGTACTGTCGTACAGATTCTGCATGCTGTTGAGTACTTTCATGGTAGAGGACTTATGCACAGAGATTTAAAGGTATTAAAGTCAATTAAAAATAGAAATTTTATTGTACCCCATGGGTACAAAGAAGTGAATAATTTATTCCATTGCTTTTGTGTTTTATCTTTTGTTTCTAATAATTTTTTAACTTTCAATTGTCACCTTTTTTGTATGGCAGCCATCTAATATCTTCTTTTCTATGGATGGGTCTGTGAAAGTGGGTGACTTTGGTCTGGTGACAGCTCATACATCAGAAAATAACATGGACACTCCTGTGAAAGGTACATCACTGTAACTAAATCATTGGTCTGTTTTTCATTTTGGTTTAGGTAAGAACTTGACCCCAGGAAAGACTCTCATCAAGGCTCCATTTNTGTTGAGTACTTTCATGGTAGAGGACTTATGCACAGAGATTTAAAGGTATTAAAGTCAATTAAAAATAGAAATTTTATTGTACCCCATGGGTACAAAGAAGTGAATAATTTATTCCATTGCTTTTGTGTTTTATCTTTTGTTTCTAATAATTTTTTAACTTTCAATTGTCACCTTTTTTGTATGGCAGCCATCTAATATCTTCTTTTCTATGGATGGGTCTGTGAAAGTGGGTGACTTTGGTCTGGTGACAGCTCATACATCAGAAAATAACATGGACACTCCTGTGAAAGGTACATCACTGTAACTAAATCATTGGTCTGTTTTTCATTTTGGTTTAGGTAAGAACTTGACCCCAGGAAAGACTCTCATCAAGGCTCCATTTCACTTTTTTATCTCTTAAAGGCCATGCTAGTAAACTCTTAAACTATTGTGGATTGGCTTCATTGAAGTTAGACTTCATTGAGTCAAAGCAACATTTTAAGTTTGTTTCGTTATCTTCAATTAACCAAAAAGAGAAGAAAGTGCAAACGAAAGAGGTGTGATGCCTTACAAATTCAAAGTTTCACTAGATGAGGTTGCTTTTGGTTTCTGGAGCTCCTATCAAAAACCAATTTTAATTGCTTTAATTAATTTTTTGTGATCTACTTCATTGTCCATTTGCTCTGTAGGCTTCGACTTCATACAGACTAGTGATCCTGATAAACTGTGTGTGTGTGTTGCATTGGAGTACATGTAATATGTAGTGTGGAAATAATATAAGCATAGTATATGTCATCCAGACAACTTATCGGTAACAATATAACAACTCTAAATTAAAAATCAGCAAATCTCTCAGTTCAGTACACATTATATTTTTGGAGGGGCTACTTCTCAAGTGGTGAAAGCTCATTTTGTTACTTTCCCTTGAGTTGGTCACAATAACCTTTTTTTGGCTTCCCAACAACTGCTTCTTATTAAGAGTTTTCATATGATGTTAATAGGAATTTTAAAAATGTGTTGTACGATACATCATTACTTTTTTCTCCAGTTGTTTGCCTTTCTGCATGATATATTGATTTTATATTCTTTATTGTTATCCTTCAAAGGATCTTTTATAGATGACATAAACCACACAAGTCAAGTGGGAACCCAACTTTACATGAGTCCTGAGCAGGTAATGAATATTAACAAAATTAATTAAAAATTAATGAGATCTACCTTCCTCTATCTTCTACAATACACATAAACAGTAGAATTATTATTTATTTACAGAACAAGACTGTGGGACACAGTCGAAAGCAACAATACTACAAAATCTGAGACCTTTTGAGACTATGATTTTATTTGTTTTGCAAAGAACGACAGTTGTTTACTAGTAAATTTCCAGCCACCCTATATTCCTTAAAACATGTTAATACAAGTTTTAAGGGGATCTAAAACCCAAACATAGAGGAGATTCTGGTTGCAACCTTTCTGACGGTTTGGCATTAAACCAAAATACCTGGATATTGTTCATCAAACTGACTGAAACTAACATTCTATCTGTAAGGCATAATTCTAACTGATCAGATGCAATACTTTTAATTCTTCAAATAATCTCAGATGGAGGGAAAAGCATATTCACACAAAGTGGACATCTTTTCACTGGGGCTCATCTTTTTTGAACTGTTTTGTCCATTTGGTACACAAATGGAGAGAATTAAGGTAAGAGTATGAATATATTAAGTAATCAAATTTGCTGAAAAGTATTTATTGATTTCTTACTTATAGAGTGGTGGATTGAATGACAGCAAGCTTAAAAAGCTATCAAAAACAGTGATAAAGAATAATTTAATGAAGTTTCCGTGTCGGCTGAGATGATCAGGGTCTGCTCTGTCATTGGTTCACCCATGACAGCAAGATGAGAGTAATCTTACCTCCATACCACTGACTTATGTGAAGCAGACTGATAAAGGTTTTGTTTGTACTGAGTGCTGTCAAGTATTTTTTAGGTTGAGAATTGACAAAGAGATTTGTCAGCTTCTCGTTGTCATGGTAGCACAATGACAGAAACACTGTTAGTCTTAAAGCCTGCAAAGGATAAGAAAACCATTTTTGTTGCAGCAGGCTTGTTTGCTCCAAATTGTTGGATATACAGACCACATGTCTCATGGAACAAGACTCCTCCTTGGTGATTTCACCCTTTATTTTCATTAGGGCACTTGCTCTTTCTTTCTTGCTCCTTGATCCTCTATACTCTATTACTTGTTAGGTCATGTGTGGCGTCAAACAAAGGAACCTTCCCACTGAATTTGAAGCAAAGATGCCTCTTCAGGTATGTTGCTAACAGCTAACTGGTCTTTTTTGTTTGGTCTCTCCCACTCTTTGCTCTAGTATGGTTGAATTAGACCTTTTTTTCTGAAAAGAATGTGCAATTTGGAGTGGAATGAACTGTACAGTTACACTTTAAAAGTGAAAGTGACTTAACAGAGATCCTTTCAAGGAATGAAAAAGGGCAACGTATGGTCGCCTGGAATTATTTTAGTACTGTGTTGTTATTGATTTAGTACAATTTGTATTTTCCTTTAGTCACAACTTGTTCAGTGGCTTGTGTCAGCTACTCCGAAGGCAAGACCAAATGCGACAGAAGTGAGAAATAGTGACATACTGCAGCAAATCAGTCGAAGTGTCTCTTAAAATCACTCTGTCAGTAACCATCCTAGTAGTGCACTCCCAGAGTACAGAGAGAAGGTCATAAAACACATGCTCTAAGTGTGTATGCATTTTAGGAGATGGAATAAGTAGTAGTCTTGTGGTAGGTCTCAATTTAGCGTTTCATTGATCAATAGTTCAATGATGGACGGCAGTAAATATTCAGTAGAAGGAATTGAAACAGGAAAATATACAAACTGTACTGAATGTACCATGTTGCTAGTTGTCACGCCAATTTTTGGAGTGTTATTTTGGTGTGGCAAAATAGTGAATTATTGACATTTAGAGTATTGTGTTTTGAGGAGCAAAATAGTTTTTGATAAAGGAAGAGATACCTGTCACTAGGCAGAATAGCTGTATTTTATAGAAATTTTTTAAAATGTATCAAACACTTTACCATGTCTCTTCTGACATGGTGCAGTCTAGTATTTTTTCAAACTAACTGCGAAGTGTCTGGATAACAGGTAAAACACTGTTTGGAGTATATGACATAGTTGTTCAAGTGAACTAATTCTTAAAGATGTTGAGAGCGAAAGTTGGTAAATTGTTATCACAGTTATCTCCTTCACGTTATTGATGCTCTTTGTTATCTCTTTATGACTTGTAAATAAGTTTGATAAAGAAAAACTGCCGTTCATTCTTGGGACAAAGTTGAATAATTCTAGTAAGGTACCTTCTATTTTGTGGGAAGGTTGTTTTCCAAACTCGTGACATTTTTTTTTCGAACTCTGCAAGAAGTATCCCATTCGCTTGTTAAGTTCGTTAGTCAGAATTTGATGTATCATGGACTTTTTGTATCATAAAAAAGAAATGTAGATAGGACTGTAATTAAATTTATGAAAGTTGTATTATTTATTTTGACAATGGAATAAAAATGTACAAAATCTGGTCTTCTTATCTACTTCTACGTCATGCAAAATATATCAGCTTCCAACTGGTATAGTGGCGTAAAATCTGTTCAAAGCAACTTTCGTCTAAAGTATTATTGAGCCACAAGTAAACTTGCAACCTAATTCGTTGTTGCATATTTAACTCTTAAACTGGTTGATTTGTAGTCATCGTACTTAGACGATAGTAATTTTTTTGACCCATCGTTATGGTCAACTGTCATTTGGAGATAAAGACTCCATTCTCTTTATACAGTTTTCACACTGTTCAACTGTTTGGTTTAACATATCCATCATTTCTGGGTTAAACATGGTAACAACGTCAACGTTCAGCATATGACAGCGAACTGTTGAATAAAACAAAACAAAAAAACATGAACGTGAGTACAGTACTTACGACCTTAGTAAGTTAAAAGATAGTCCACCCCCGGCGATTTCCTTTCCTATACGCGCAAAAGGAAAAGAAGTAACAGTTTGAATCGGCCTTCACAGCGGCTTGTTTGCGATGTCGCAATCAATGATGCAGTATAAGGAGGGGATTTCGGTAGATCGGTCAAATCTGTAACGTATGTGACACAGACCATAGACAGGACCTCCGCTATCTTTTGTAGTCAACATGTACTTCCTTTCGATTACTACTATAATTACTACAATGCGCGTAATCCTAAACATTTTAGGAGTGTCCCCTATGCTTCCCGTTGTTTCATGATTTGGGGGGAGAACATCTGTGTGCAGGTCATGCTTTAAAGGGTTGGTTGCTGGTCGTCTTCTAAGTCTTTTATCATGGGATTTGCAGAAGCATCGATCCATAGTTATTCTTTTTGTCTATAGATCAAGTGACCAGAGAACGCAAGAGTCCCGATAAAGTACATACTCGTCATTTGGTCTTTTCACGAGGCATTTGGGGCCTACATATACTCAGAAATGAAACAACAGATCACGCAAGACGGGGACGATTTGTTTTTAGTTTGAAGAGAGTGTTGGTTTTTAACGTTAACGGTGGTAGTCTGCTCAAAGAACGGCTCTATTAAAGAAGACTTACAGGGTCGTGATTGAAGAACATTGTTCCAAAAGTCAAATAAAGTTGAACTCCCGTGCAACGAAGAGCTTAATCTCGTCCCCAGGGTCTTCTCGTTTTCCAATATAACCCTAACCTAACCCTAACCCCAACCCAAATCGCTAAGGCGATATCAGAAGGGATGCCCATATCACCCGGGTTTTGGGAAACGCGAGAAGATCCCAGGTACAGCTGCGAAGAGCCCGAGAGACAAAAACAGAGTTCTTTTACAGTGTGTACAGCAATTATATACAGCTGATTCAATAAAGGTTGCTTTGGGAATTACGCTCTGGGAAGCTATTTTTTTGGTGGTCAGTCAAGAAAATCATTGCAGCGAGTTCCGTATATTTAATGCACAATTGACCACTCCAGAAAATACCATAAACATGCCATGATGGTCTTTGTCACCCCAAAATTTTGCCTAAGCACTGTTTTCAGTTTCTCTTCGGACCATTTTAACCCCCAAGAGAAACCGAAGTCAAGGCTATTGCAAAGTTTTGGGGTGACAAACAAAGAGCATTGTGGTATGTTATGTTATTTTCTGGAGTAGTCAATTGCCAATTTCCAATGCCCAAAGCTGTACCGTTAAATTATGCCCTAAAAGCCGGTGCAGGTAATAGCCACAACCCACTGAGGGTTGGTGTTGAAGTATTGGTACTAACCACTTGCTTTTGTTGCAGTTTCCTTTGTCGCTGCCAGGGTCTTCTCAATATCTTCCATTCTTGTGATCATATTTTCATAAGTATCAGGGCACCCTAAGAAAAACAAAGCAGAACTTTGGCTTTTCTTTTGGCAGTCTTGCAAATAGAATATTGCTCGTGTCAGCTTCGGATATTGCAGAATGTCAGAGAAAAGAAATTCCAGTAAACTTATATTCCAAGTTGCTCTAAGACTCTCCTAGTCCTAGCTTTTAATGTCGACCTCAATTAATATATAGGACCAAAAACCGAAATCCATCTTAGAATGATTCCAGTGAAATATATTTCATTTACCTTTGTCTTGTTTTAAAAAGGTCAAGGCATTACTTACCTTGGCTCTGATCATTTTTTTGACCTCGTTCTCCATTGTTCAAAGAGACGTTCTTGGTTCAAGGAGAGAAAAAAAATATGATAAAAAAAAAGATATGAAGCCCAGCCAGGAAAGTAATGTGTGGCAGGTAACAGTATCACCAACAGTATCCTAGATAAAAGCTTCCATTAAAAAGATAGACCCATTTGCGACGGTACGCGTATAGCCGTCGCGTCTTCGGAATTTTATTTAAGCTTAAAGACAGGAAAAGAAATTTGCAGTATAAAAGGCTACAGCTATACGCGTATGGTGCAAATGAATATATCCTTATACTAGGAATTAGGAACAGAATATACGCACTTGCCACTGCGCGCTAGTCATCGGCGATGCGCCCGTGTTGTTGAAGGCTTGACTGGCGGCACTGAGGAGCGAGACCATCAAATTAGTTATTTACAGATTAGACCACAAGAGAAATTAAAGATAATTTTGTGGTATAGTCTTCCGATTTTTTCTCACGTCTACTTAATTTTGACACTTTTCTTATCGCAACAGGGCATTCAAACGAGTGGAAGATTGCCATAGTATTGTTAAATTTATTCTTTTGTAGATTTTCAAGCAGCAACTTGTAAAACGCTATTCAGCAACGCTTAGTTTGAAACACTGTAATGCGATATGGCTACGGACAAAACTCAATGAACTATTTTTCATCTTAATGATTATTTCAGCTAATCTTTTACACCGCGAGAACAGCTTTCAATGCTGTCTTTGAATAGTTGTAATTAAAGTTCACATGATTTACATAACGTATTAAGACATTACCATGATTCACCCTCACGATTCATCGGATCACGATGAAAATCTGTTTCTTTTCGAACTTCTTGACCAGAAAACTGCAAAAGAAAAAAAGAATAAAAAGGAAGATCGCGAATTTCATACTGCTCATTGTATACAGTGAAAAGCAGCTGTTTACAAGAAAAAAAATAAAGCCTAACTTGAGCTCGTACGGTTTAAAAATATTCGAAAAACAACCTGCTATAGAATGTGAATATTTAATAGCAATTCTGGCTAAAAACCTGATCGAGTTATCTCTTTACTTGTCAATTATTTGTGCGTTTTTCCAACGAAACTAAACATTCACTTGTACTCTGAAATTCCTGCGGCTTTTTTTGTAACATTTTAGATGGGCTGTAATAAGAAAGGAAAAAAAGTTGTATAAATGAAGATAAACATTTGTTTGAATGTGAAATAAGGTATTTGAGGCACACAAGGGAACATTTTGTTCAAAATTCGCATTTATACGTTTAGTTCGGCGAGGACGGAGAGCATAAGTTGACCCTTAATACTTTGACAAGCATTTTCCCTTTTAAGATTTCAGGTAATAAACACCAGTAGATCTTGAAATGAAAAGCTGTGAATCGCTAGTTTAATCCGGCCATTAAATAAACACTATTCCCAAGGATCTGGATAGAAGAGCAACAGAATAATGTTGTGCAAAAAAATAATACAAAAGTGCTTACTTGTACTTGTGAACAGAGGCCGGTCTCAGGAGGCTGGTAGCTCTCCGTGTTGTCATTCGTATGCATATTTAGCATATATAAAATAAACTATCGCCCCAAAGACGAGTACTACCAAGACAATCGTTGAAGCCAACAACAGCTTTAGACGTGCTGAAATTGGACGAGGGAGCTGATGAACAATAATTTGTGTTTCTATTCTTTTTCTTGAGCACTCGCCTTCCTCTAAGAGCGTTTCGGCCATCGTCGCCAGCAGCTTGCCAGACGCGTTATAAGCGCGGGAAAAATACATGACAAATAAAAACAATCTCATTCATTGGTCAATTTTTTTAGCATTCACTTTGCATTCATGTTCATTCATTACATTCATCTACCATACTCTGCATAAGTTACTTTTCTAAATTCGATTTCTTTTCAATCAATGACTTCATTAGGTACTTAGTTTAAGGTACACAGCAATAAAAATTTTGAAAAGTAGAAGATTCCGCGAAAAGGACGGTTGCGCTGGTTGCGTCCGGTTGTGATAGCAACAGTGGAAACAGTGGAGCAACAGTGTACAGAGAGGAAGAGAGAACCCTGGGAACGAGCTGGTTGTTGAAACGAAGATATAAGGCAATCTCTTATTGGATAGGATCTTATCCAAGATTCTATTGGTTCAATTTATTCCGTGGTCAAGATGGCTTCCCATGGACGTGATCTGAGAAGATTTGTAGAATTTGGCCGAAAAATTATCGGCGTAGGGAAGAACTACAGGTTGGTGATGTGTTGAGCATATAAAACAAAGTAAGAATCACTATTCATTCTGTAAGACTTCCTTTGTAAAATGTTCTTGTAGGCCAAACGGATCACCGCAGCAACCTCCTCCTGCTCAAGACCCCTTAATCTTTCTCAAACCGTCGTCCACGTATCTGAGACCAGGAGGGAAAATCAAGGTAGGTTTTAAAATTTCCTTGGTTAGGGTTTCATGTGTTAAAACATATGAACATCAACTTACCTAAAAATACTAAATTCCCAGGAAAAAATCCCGTGTACCATATTCCTCGAATAAGCGCCCGGGCGATTACTCGAGCGGGGCTCTTACTAAGTTCTCCTGTTGTAATCAACCGTACCGTAGTCCCGTTATACAGTTTACACACAGATGTATCAGTATAAATGTTGAAGTTGAAGCTTATGCATCAGTCAATTCCAGCTGGACCCAAGTCGAGAAAGAGCTGCGAGAAAAAAGGCGAGAAAAAAGGCAGGAAAAAAGCATAAAGGCGAGAAAAAAGTTGGGAAAAAATCTTAAAGGCCAGAAAAAGTTGAGAAAGGAAACATCGAGCACAAAATTTTCATGGCACTTACCGGGCTCTGTAGAAACAGGTTATCTTTGTATCCCTACCATTTAAGAAAGTGATGGGGGAGGGAAAGCCAGGGGATTCTTATAACAAGGTCTACATCAGTCTGCATCTACAACTTTAATCTATAACAGTTTCCCATTACATAGATATGGTGAGTGCTTGCTTGATATTTTGGCCTAGAGGGTGGGTGCTTATGCGGGGGAAGGAACTTATGAGAGCATAGGCCCCTATTCAAGGAAATACGGTATCCAGTGTGACAAGGCATGTGACATTATCACCATTACATGTCAGAGAATCCTAGCCACCATCATTACACTTTTACATTTCTTGCACTGCAGTGGATATCATCTGAGGTTTGTAAAGCAATATCCTTTGCTTCTTGTGTACAATGAGGGGGGAATTGATATTCTGTATTAGCTGGGGTGAGTAATATGACTCTTGTTTTCGTAAAACTGGGGCTTAAAAAGGATAGGAGGATAAACTGAGGAACGAAAACATTTATTGGAATCTCGCTATCCTCATAAATTTCTTGGATTTCCAAATCTTACATCCCCAAATCCATTGTCCTATTGGTAGTTATATATGTGTTAATACCAAGTGTGAGGTCAAAGATGGCTGGATAATGGCCAAGTTAATTTGTTTGGGAGGGAGGTATTATGATGGACTGAGACAAATGCAAGGGCAACAAAATTGTAAAAAAAAAATATAAGGCTAATATCCAGTCATCTCAACCAAACAAGCTTGGTCAATAAAGGATTTATCATATGGCCAAGAGAACTTTTCCTTCAAAATCCTGAATTCCAGCTTTCAAATGAGGCAAATTTTCCCCTGAGAACAGTCTTATATCTACACTGTGCAAAATGTGGGTTGCCTTTTGACTCTTTGTAGATGTAAGCATGCCTCCGAATTGAGTGTGTCCCTAGATCTCCTTTGATCCTTCAGAACCTTAAAATACAAAGTCCATTTTCATGGTCTATTTTTTTTGGACTTTGTTGCATTTACATTTTCATTGCTTTGACAGATTCCTGTAGGCCGTGATCACATCCACCATGAAGTGGAACTTGGTGTTGTTATTGGTAAAACAGGACTGAACATTTCTCAGGCACAGGCTATGGACTATGTTGGGGGATATGCCCTGGCTTTAGACATGACTGATCTTGACTTAATTTTCAAAAGGGTAAGCTTTCCTATTACTTAAGGATGCTTGCAGCTGTGTGCATTGGTTTCTTTCAATGGTTTCTAACTAAAGGGACAAGCTGACAAGAGTGTGTTCTTTTTGTATTTTTTGTTCTTCTGAAATTTAAAATTAGCCTATTTATTAGCCAATTATAGGTAGAATTTACACACCTTCATTGTTTGAACTTTGTTGTGCTCCCAAAGCTTGATTGCTTTATCATTATTCACATTTACAACTATTAAGTTATTGTAGGAATAATTTGTCAGCCTTTATTAGAAATGTACTTGTGGACTTGGAATTTTGAAAAAAAAAATTCAATTTTTGATCCTAATAAATCTATACAGCCCTTTTTAATGGTTTAGTTCGATCCTCCTGAGTTCTTCCAGGCAATTTCCCAACATTTTCTTATTTCAAACATTTATCATTATTTTACTTATTTATCACCTTAGGAGGTACTGTCTTTTAAGGGCCAAGGCTACTTTTGCAAATCCTCATACACTGAAAATGTTAGTGAGAGTCCTGCTGGTTGTTAAGAAGATTTATTTTCTCTAAATATTGATCTACAGGATGCCTCATCTCCTATCACTTATCCATGGGCTCTTGCAAAAGGTTTTGACACTGCGACACCTGTGGGTGACTTCATACCTAAAGATGATATTCCAAACCCTGATAATGTACGACTATGGCTAAAGGTGGATGGTGAAATGAGACAAGATGGAAATACCCAGGATATGATTTATAAAATTCCTCATTTAATTAGTTTTGTTAGTCAATACATGACCCTGGAGGAAGGGGATTTTATTCTTACAGGGACTCCAGAGGGAGGTGCGGCTGTCCAAAGAGGCCAGGAGATAGTATGTGGTCTTGGGGATAAAACTGAGCTAAAATTTCCTATTTCTCAGTAGATGTGTTGCTAAACTATGAGGGCCCCACTGAAAACCGCCTTGGCGAGTTGGGCTCCCTCTATAAATATTATTATTATTATTATTATTATTATTATTATTATTAAACTAAAATTGAAAGCACCAAGGCCTTCCTGTTAGGCTTAATGTGTAGAGCATATTTTTAATCACAAATAACAACCATTCTTTGTTTTTCTTAACCAATTTGCCAATAACTGAATTTTTCACCAAAAGATGTCTTTCTAAGTAGTTAAATGAGTGGCTCACAAAAGAAGATACAAGAGAGAGGGATTGGAAATTTTCAACCAACTGTATGTATTTCCCTTTGTGCAAATGAAAATCCTTCAGTGATCATTGCAAGTTCCCCTTTCCTCAACTCTTTGCCTCTCCATTGTGAGTTCTTTCCAGCTCACTTTGCTCACCACTCAAAATGGAGAGCTTGATTGCAGGCTAGACAAAAGGAATGAAAACTATTCAAATCACAAATCATCACTTTTCAAACCTCTCATTGTATGAGAGGTATGCCATTGTGTTACCTTGGATCCACGTATGTGTGCCATATTTTACTATCATCCATGTTACATGAATTTCTCTGAGTTAGGAAACTTTTAATGTATAACATTTTACTACTAGGGGTACATAGACTGTTTTATTTAGGAACTAATTCTTGGTTAACAGGGGAAGCAGCTAATAACACGCAAAGCTGGCAGTTTTGTTTGTTGAGTGTGCAACTGAGTTGCAAAGCCACAAGGAGAATTATGGTGCACAGCTTTACTGCTCTTACACATGTCACATGTTTCCACAGCTTTTTTCCCCGTCTTACCAAACAAACCACCAACTAAGCAGGCTACTCACTGATGTTCAGTCATCAAATGATTCTGATTTAATCAGAATCAAAGCTGAAACTTAAGCTAAAACATACTTTTTATAGGAAATATCTGTTCAGAGTTATAGTATTTGTTTTACAATTTCTAAAATAACTCAACATACTTGAATTAAAACCATCGGTTTTCAAACTAAGTTTGAGCTTTACTATTACTTTTTTTTTTGTTTGTTTTGCAAAAACATCAGAGTATCCACATTTTAATTCATATGGGTATGCAAATCCGCCAATCCGTTATGATTTATTAACCAAATCCGCCTTTCCATTTTCGCCCTGAATCCGAAATCCGGGCAAAAATATTTTAATTACACGCAGAGTCCAAAATCCGGGCCAAAAATAGATGAATCGGCAATCCGCTGCAATTATAGGATCCGGAAATCCTTTAAAAGCTCGCTTTGAATCCGAAATCCGGGCAAAAATATTTTCAAAATCCGCCAATCCGTTCTCCTATTCAGCCCGCTCCTTGGCCATGATTTCCATTATATTTATATGAAGACTGGACAGATTCATGTCATGTATGCATAATACAATGTATGGAACAGTGCGGAAATCTTACCCTCACTTGTGATGAGATCAAAAGTTTACATTTGAACAGGTTTTCAAGGCGTGTTTATGTAAACTCTAGTGTTATTTTTTAGGTATAGACCTCAAACCAAGAGAAACCTATGGACGTGAATCCTTGAATCAGTAACTGTCAGCTGAATTGTAGTAGCCCAAAGCATCATCTTTTTCCAATAAATTCCGTAACCAGAATGCCCCCGTAAATACAAATTCCTGATTTTTACTTCAATGTTTCGTCAAGTTTTAAACCCTGCCAACGCTATAAATTCGTTTGTGAAGTCCTTGTTTCCATTTTTTGATTTAGATTGTGCACAAAAACACAGGTCCCGATTGTGCTTAGACACGGCTATATTTTTTACGGTTAATTAACCATTATTACGTGTATTGCTAATATCCGCTTCGGAAAAAAAAAAACGAGCAAACAAACACAAACAAATTCATATGCGGTATTGACCAAGCTTGGTACTGGCTAAGTTTTTTGCGTTTTTCTGAGGGACCGGAACGAAGTAAAGGTCCATCAAAACGCAAAAAATAACAGTGGTTTATTATACGGCCAAAATGAAATTTTCCTTGCAGGAACAAAGCAAGAAATCCCGAGTGGGCAAGATAGGCCTATCTTCCCCGCTCACAGAACACGACCAAGTGATTTGATGAACATTCTAATGGAAAAAAAGATCACATTTTTCAACTGCGGTTGATTTGATTTTCAACATTATTCACTGGAATTGAAGTTTTCTTTCGAATTGTTCACTTTTTCTTCATTGATATTTGCTGTAAATCACATTGTTCAAAATCGTTGCTCAGAAAGGCAAAATGTTTTTCTGTGTTGAGCAGGTTCGCCTGGAGTTCTAACCCATTACCCTTTTATATACTCTACCATTGTTTGACAAAAAAGGTACTCCTTTCGGAAAACCTTCTATTGAAAAATGCTGCCCCTCTATCTTACCTGCTAACAATAAGTCTACTTTTAATGAATTAAAATGACGTAAGGCGGGTATGTTCGAAATATTTTGATTAAAGGCCCTAAATGGCTGATTTTCCTTCCAGCTAACCCTTTCACGTACCTCAACTCGTTAAGGTATCACTTTGGGCGGAGCCACCCCATGTACGCCATTATGGGAAGTACCCTCCACAGGCATCCAAAATTCACTAAGCGAGCGCTTGTTAAAAATTAATACTTCTGGCAACGCTGCTTAACGAAGCGATTTATAGGGTTCATATGGGAACAGTAAAAATTCGAAAAAACTAGCCTTATCTTAGCTTTATTTCGTATCAGGAACAGGAAGTTTGGGAAGTGAGGTAGGAACGCGTGACGAGCCTCTACTAAGAACGTCTGCGTTGGACCAAGAGGCTAATCAACCTCGTCCCCAGGGCTTTCCCCTCAAAAAATGGGTAATAGAGTACCGAAGTGATGACGTCATAAAAATGAAATTTGCGAAATTATGGGCTTTGTTAAGATATTCTGAAAGAACAACGTCCAAGACACCTACTCGCCAAAAATTAGCAATTAGGGGCAAATTGTCTCTGAGATATTAGCCCAGTTATGCTCTGACGATTCCATACAAATCCTTCTAAATTTGGCTTGGTTCATAAGATTAGGAACCAGGTAAGATTTAGAAGGATTTGTATGGAGTCATCGGAGCATAACTGGGNTTTATTTCGTATCAGGAACAGGAAGTTTGGGAAGTGAGGTAGGAACGCGTGACGAGCCTCTACTAAGAACGTCTGCGTTGGACCAAGAGGCTAATCAACCTCGTCCCCAGGGCTTTCCCCTCAAAAAATGGGTAATAGAGTACCGAAGTGATGACGTCATAAAAATGAAATTTGCGAAATTATGGGCTTTGTTAAGATATTCTGAAAGAACAACGTCCAAGACACCTACTCGCCAAAAATTAGCAATTAGGGGCAAATTGTCTCTGAGATATTAGCCCAGTTATGCTCTGACGATTCCATACAAATCCTTCTAAATTTGGCTTGGTTCATAAGATTAGGAACCAGGTAAGATTTAGAAGGATTTGTATGGAGTCATCGGAGCATAACTGGGCTAATATCTCAGAGACAATTTGCCCCAAATTGCTAATTTTTGGCGAGTAGGCGTCTTGGACGTTGTTCTCTCAGAATATCTTAACAAATCCCATAATTTCACAAATTTCATTTTCTATGACGTCACACTTCGGTACTCTATAGTTGCCAAGTACTGCCGGGACATTCGTTTTCCCGTACACTTTTAATTTAGGCGGTCCCCTTTCACCGGCCACATAGACACGGACAGTACTAATCTCGTACCCAGATCTCCCACGGCCAAGAGATTAGGATAGTACAAGACTTTCCATTGGGTAACGCTGTGTAAAATAAAAGGCTCTTTTTGATTGGTCCACCATGTCCACCGAATCCAAAATGGCGGCCACACGCGATCTTCGAAGATTTACGGAGTTTGGGCGGAAGATAATAGGAGTTGGTAGAAATTTCAGGTTTGGAAGTGAACTTTTGGACGTAGTATTCCAGTTAGTTTTAAGTTTAAACTGTTGTCATTCACGGCGTTCTTTCCAGGGAGCACGCAGCAGAGTTAGGAAACCCAGTACCAAAAACTCCCTTGATCTTTTTGAAACCACCATCGAGCTATCTGCAGCAAGGAGGCAAAATCAAGGTAAATCTTATTTCAACAATATCATTCAGCGTAAAGATCAAGACGTGTCTCGTATAATTTCTTAGCGTCACCTTCATACCCAGCAGCCGTGGTTCGACAGCCCCTTTCCGGAGCCGCGCGGGACCCAAACTTGTAGCGATACCCCACGAAATGTAAAAATACCCAAAAGTTTTAAAAGAACAAAAATAGTAAAGTAAAGAGCAGGTGTAGAAAGCGAAAGTATGTCTACTTAAACCTGCTATTTGAAATATACCGAATCAAATCCCCATCTCAATCACCCCTTCCCCTAAGAAAAGGGGATGGTAGCAGTGGCGAATCCAGACCTACAGATAAGGGGGGGGGGGCGGACATTTAGACCCTGAGATAAGGGGGAGTCCGGTCTAAAAATAAGCGGGGGCAGGCCCCTCCCCTGGACCTGACACTGGGTCGTTTATGGCTCAGTCAATTCTCAACATGCCCATCCCCCCAGGCATTTGACATTTTGTTCTGGAAAAGCTGCAAATGCCCCACGGTGGGGCTTAAAAGTAGGATGCAAATGCCACACCCCGGGACAACACCAAAATTGAAATTTCCAGTAAATAAGCTGCAAATACCATATTTATAGGAAATTTCTATCAATCTGATCAAAATGCATGAAGCGCCCTACGCAAGTCGTTCCTGGCCACTGGATATATTTATTGCAAAAAAGATTACATCCATCTGATTAATATCAATAACAGAACTATAAACTAGAATTTTACATAATACCCAGGGACCGCGGAGCAAGGTGAAAAGTGGGAGGGCTGACAATTAAAAATAATTTTTTCTAATAAACGACCAACATACACTGTCAGTTCAGATTCAATGCAAGAAAAGACTCGATTAGAATTTTAGTATAGAAAATACTACACTGAAGTGATCTGAAAAATTTCTAACTATGGCAGTTCACTGTTCAAGTAATGTAATTCTTCTTGCCATCGAATATTTCATTGATACGAGAGGAGAAAGACAAAATATAAAACTTTTATCAACTCAAAACAACTACTCACCTTCGTTTGGCTTGAAAAAGCTAGTAATTTTCTTCATTTTGTCTGATAAAACTGCTAAAAAACTTGCCGGAGCTGGAAGTACAAAACACGCTGCCGAACGAAGCGAAGGGGTGGCCAAGGCATGGCGTTTGATCAAGGGGCAAGTCGGCCCCTGAGCACAATTACCGCGAAAAGCACAGGAGTCCCACAAAATGCCTGGCGTTTGAAATTAAAGAAAATACAGAGAATATAGCGGAATATAGACGGAAAAAACTTGTTTCAAGTCTTTTTTTTATTTTTTAGCACAAAAAGTGGGGGCGGGGGCGCAAAAAAGTGGTGGGGCCGTGGCCCTACCAGGCCCTCCCCCTCCGCGGTCCCTGATACCTTTCTTTTTTTCAAAGACGTTTAACAAAGTGAAGGATGAGCTTAACATGGGTATTTTCTCATCAAGATGGAACTGTTTCGTCAGTGTATTAATATTATTGTCGCATTGATCACTCAATACAGGAAATTTATATCTCGCAAAGTTTTTCTAGGCCTTTCTGCCTCAACCATAATTTTATGCACAAAAAAATGTCTTTTCCTTTAAACTCTTCAAACGATATATTGATCATTTTTCCTTCATGTGAAAACTGATCACGATGGCGGGAAGCAATTTCTTAGATGGATGCAAAAATATTGTTGGATAGGGAACTGATGGAGTGAAAACCATGCAGATCTCTTTAAAGCAAAACTATTAAAAAAATTCTTTATAGAAATATCTAAAGCTATCTAAATAGGCACATTTCTAAGTGAAATATCAAAGAAGGAATGAGGTTAACTCCTGGAAGAATTGACAAATGCCCCACCCTTGGGCAGAGGTTTTCTGACAAATTCCCCACTGCCAGGACTGGCAAGATGACAAATGTCCAACAAATGCCTAAGGGGGGGGATGAGCATGCTTTGAATTGACTCAGCCATTATTACCTGTGAGGAGGGGAGGGGAGCTGCCATTTTGAGAAAGCTTAGGAGATTTTCAAACTGACCCCCTGACTTTTAAGAAATGATTCCCCGTGTATTTTAACTTATGAAGATGTATAAGTCCAGCGCTTATAAGCGTTAGCTTACACTACTTTATTTTCAGGTTCCTCCAGGGTGTAAGAAGCTACATCATGAAGTAGAACTTGGTGTTGTGATTGGTAAAACAGCCACATCTGTTTCTGAAACAAATGCAATGGATCATGTCGGTGGATATGCACTTGCTCTTGACATGACTGCCAGAGATATTCAAGATGCTGCCAAGAAACTTGGCTGGCCATGGACATTTGCTAAAGGATTTGATACTGCATTACCCATCAGTGATTTCATCCCAAAGGCAGAGATAGCGAACCCTGATAATGTTCACTTGTGGCTGAAAGTTGATGGTGAATTAAGACAGGATGGCAATACACAGGATTTCATCTTCAAGATCCCTCAGCTGATAAGTTACATCAGTCAGAGCATCACACTAGAAGAAGGAGACCTTATTTTGACGGGAACCCCAGAAGGTGTTTCACCAGTCGAGCCTGGTCAAACAATAGTGTGTGGTCTAGCTGATAAACTTGAAATGACATTTCCTGTGATATAATTATTCATAATCATTTTATTATAATTATGAAGAAAATGACCAACTGCAGACTATGAGTTTGAGTGCATCAATCTTTATTACATTTTGGCTTCGAGTACAGTTGAACCCCACTTTATGGACACCCACTTAAAACTTAATTTAACAATATTATTAAGAAAAAATGGAATGCGGAAATATATGACTATATTTCTCTATAATCATCTTCAGATTGTAAGATATCATGCAGTGAATTCTTGATCTTTTTCAGAAAGCTAAAATGCCTGTGTGATTTTAAGAAGCAAAGAATTGAAATCTGAAATGAAACTGACTCTATGAGTTCAGTATTTTTTCTGTGAGTCCTAGATAACTAATATTTTTAATAGGTTGATGTCTCTGCTCCTTTATGATGCATGTTAAACGCGGAGTAACTAAATTATAGTGCAAATAATGACAAGTTGGCGTTAATGGGGGAGCACTGCCTTGGGCTAGGTTGGCCTGTGTGACTTGCGGCGATGGCATGACCAAAGAACCTCACTTATCTCCCCAGAACTACGAGCTGAACACAATACAGCATGTGCTGGAAAACGTGGCCAGCAAGCTTGGTGTAAGTCGCTGCAAAGACTTAACTGCACCACCAAGGAGTGTCCCTAGTTTATTTGATGGCATAGCAGAAAACAAAACCCAAACCTTGTCTCCAAAGGGAGGGAGGGAGGGAAAATTTTACAAGAATAATATACTGAGTGCTAACCTTGCAGGACAACAGAACCCAATTAAGTGAACTCTGAACAGTTGTTCTAGGCTAGACAAATGTCTACTGGCATGGCCAATAGAAAAGGCTGTACTACAAGACAGGTCAACATTGCACATGCAAACGTTTAGCCATGAATAGTGCTTTGAAAAATTTGGCCAGTGCTGTGGATTGTACTAGCCTGCTGGAGACAACAAGGCCATAAATTCCTATGCTAGAGTACAATGTATCTTAGGGCTTGCTGACCTTGCAACTTGACTACACAATCACCTTATTGAAAAAGGAACTGCCTGCATGGAAGAGTTACTGATAACTACCATCACATTCATTATATTCATTGTTTGGGAAACTCCATACTAATACTATAGCATGCGAGCACAAATATCTCTCCTCTCCCCTTGCCACTGGACACCGTTTTGCGGGAGAGACATCATCAGCAATTTGGCCCAAACAATTCCATACTAATGAGGTGAGTCAATGCTTACATAATTAATCTGTTAGTCATAGGATTTTTGATGAAAATTTGTTCAAGTATATGTTCCTCCTGGTCAATATTATTGTAAAGTTTTGAGTTATTCTGTGAAAGCAGCCCAAAAGTCAAATGCTTCCTGTAAAGAAGTCATCCCAGAAATAATGACTTTTTTTCATAGGAATATGGCATTTACATTTGATCATATTTGTGGCCTTTTGTGTTTTGTCTGTTATTCTTAAACAAAAGATAAAAGAATAAAATTACTACATCAACAAATCAGCACTGACATTAATGCCACAATCCGAACAAATCTACATCATCATTATGGAATTAAACCCCGACTTAACGTTTACAGAGAGAACACTTCTCTCCTCTTTCTCTGTCGACATAAATCTGTGTTAAATTTTAATACGACTAAAAACCATGACTAACGAATTAGAAATCACATCACCAATCTATTTTATGTAATGTAGTGAACCGGGTTCAAGGCTCCGTTGCTCTCTTTTTCTTTGGTGTTCCTTTTTTTTTCTGTTATTAGCGACTTAAAAATGTAATTTAAAGTTCCCCAATGACTTGTCCCACTCACAATGAATGCCTTTGATGTAGCTTCACCTCCGAAATGATCACCCAAGACAATTTCCAAAACTTTTAATCTTTGTTGTAGGTGAAGGAAAGTGTTTGTATGTTTGAGGTCACAAAGTTATATTTAGAGGCTACTTTTCAGTTAAGTTGTAGTCAAATTAATAACATACTAAGTATTAGCATAGGGAACTGTTGTTACTATCACTCATTCAGTTTACTCAGCTCCTTCAGCTCTTTGATTCAGCTGTAGATGTTCATCACGAAGTATACGTACTAGCACATCTGCAATTTGGTTTTCTTCTCCTGAAACTGGCACTAATTCATATTTCCCTCGACATTCTTCAGAACTATCCAAGATTTCTCTCAGTTTACGGATAAACAGAACCACCTATCAGCACAAAGCATTTGTTTAGAAATATGATAGAGTTTATTAGTAACACAATAATATTTGAAGCTGTATTAAAATTAATGCTGACCAAATAATGTTTCTCTCTTCTGCTTGATGGACACTCCTTGCCCTTAATAGAGATGGTTATCAAAACTTATACAAGGCCAAGAAAGGCTGTTGTATATTCAGCCATAAAAATATTGTTGCTGCTATTGTACTTAAGCCAGGTTCAGACACCTCGTACTTCACACAAGCCAAATCAAATTTGACTTTAGGTTTGTTACATTGATTCGGATGCCAATCTTTTTTTCCAGCTGAACTTAATTCAAAAGGGGGGGAGGGGGAATAAATTGTCATGTACAGATATAAAACTTTATGCATTTGGCTCGTCTCATGTGATGTTTGGCATCCGAATCAAAACTAGTCCATGGCCATTTTTTCCGGGTGAGCCAATCCAAATTCAATTAGCCATTTGTACCTCTCTGTGAAAAAGGCAGGACGTCTTTCACAGAAACTTTGTGGGTGGTGATAAAATAAAAAAAAAGCCTATTGGATGATGTTTTTGTGATGTCCAGAATAATCTAGGTCAAAGCTGATGACAATTATAATTGAGGCCTTGATCTGATTCCAATTATAATTACAAAAACTGAATTTAATAATAAGCCATTAAATATAATCTCAGTTCAAAAAACCCTCACTTTCAAAGTGAGGCCAAATGCAAAACCTTTGTTCTGAAAATGAGTTTTATTTGCTTGAAATGAAAAAAAAAATATTCATACCAATGGCTTTATGCTAAGCCTCACTTTGGAACATAGACTTGAAGCAACTCAGAAATGGCCTATTCTTTTGTCATACTTGTACCTTTTTTTCAAAAAAATAATGACAGACACACTATTGCATGCATCACAGCTTGACCCTTAAAATAAGCGCCGCACCAGCACCTTCATTTCCACATTATCCTGAGAATTGCATGCGTGGCTAGTATGCACTGACCTCACCAACACTTTGATCTCTTAAGCTTTTTAGCTAGCTCACACCAACAAAGCACAAGCGGTAGAGTGATCAAACCAAAAATTTGTTGGCCGGGGCATACAGGTCTATGGGCTGGCAACGCCCCTGAGTAGGCTCTTGGTTAGTGAAAAGACAGATAGTGAGTGCAATGAAGTATGTACTTGAGACTCGACTGACAATTTTGCAGGGAGATGTTTACCCAGCTAAACTCAATCTCCTTAAATTTGATAAAAATAGGACAAGTGAGGCCACTTGGAGGCCTTTCATCGCAGAGTTTAAAGGACTTCCGTCCAAATGACAGGACTTAACGTAAAATTCTGAAAATAAACCCCGGGGCTTATATTTTTCAAAGGCCCATTTTGAGGGGCTTATCTACGGAGGGAAACTTGCATTTCAAAATCGATTGGGATAGCCTTATAGTTGGAACTTAATTTACTGTTTTTGTTTTGTTTTACTTTGTATTTGAGGGAAATTTTCCAAGTACAAGCCCCCTGGGGGCTTATATTGGGTGGGGTGATTTAACGGAGGGTTTTTTGTGTTACCTGCTTGGGGGGGCTTATATTTGGAGGGGCTTAGACATGGAGGGGCTTATATATGGAGGGGCTTATTTTCAGAATTTTACAGTATTGCATAATTATACCTAAAGAATGAATATTTTGCCCCACAACATTTTTTTTTACATACAGCCAAGGAAAAGAGGCCTCATGCTAATAGGGGAATTTTTTTAACATGTTGACATTAGATTTAGAATTACCTGCTCATCTCGCTCTTGGCAACTCACTACACCCTCCCTTGGATCAGACATGGCATACAGGGACCTCAGGGGAACAGCATACTCTACAGCCACATGAGGCGGTTCCGGATTAATCGTTCCATCTGGGCGTAGCATCTCTATTCGGTGAACGCTGGTTTTGTACTTAAGTTTCGATACTCCACCTCGACTACTCACAGTTAAGGTAAGATTATCAACAAATTTCATTCTATGGTCTGCCTTCTCAATGCTATCGTATATGTAGCATGTTTTTGGAATCAAAATAAACAGCTTGTGGATCGGAATCAGGTACTTGTAATCCGTCTGTCCGATCTTCTCAGCAAGAATTGGAAGAACCATCTTCAAGTAGCCAAAATAGTAGCCCCAAGCTAGACCATCAGCCACATTTTTGTTATTATTTTCGTTGATCTCTGATAATTCCACGCTAGAAATTTCTCGTAAGCCAATAAGAAAGAATAAAAGTGGTGAAAGAAAGCAGTTGAGGGAGAAAAGGATCGCGTATTCTGAACGGCAACATGTGTTACAATGTTCGTACAAGAAATAAAACACAAAAAGAAGGGAAGCAATACAAACTACCAGAACAGTTCGGCCATGTCTGAAAGCGAAAGTGGAAGTAAAAACCTTTTTCCAACTTCCTTTATATCGAGTCTCCTTGTGGCGAATTTCTTCACTCACCAAACACAGTCTTCGCACAAGCTCGCCGAGGACGAAACTCAGAATGAGAAGGGCAAAACCAAAGAGCAGAAAATGGAATTCGACTCTGCCTTCTTTGTCTTCCGAAGAATAAGCGATTTTAAAGTAAACGCAGTGAACGGCACCAGACAAAACGATCAGAAATAACGCAATTATGACGGAAGTCCTTCCGCGAGGCTTCGAAATTGGTCCAAATCCATTATTTTGCTGCTGGGGATTCATCCTGTGGGAAACTGAAAACTCGTTGTTTTTAACTTTGAAAATTGAGGTGCTGCTGAAATCGGGCTTGAAAATAAAAGGGTATTCCCCATTTTCAGTTCATGACTTGTGATTGGCCGCGCGCAACACGATGGATTGGCAACAGTTACCGGAAATGCTCGAATTTTCAGCGCCTGACGCCAAAATTTGAAAACCAGAAGAAGTCGATAAGAATAAAAATAATTATAATAACCAGGATATCAAACAAAACAAAGCAATAAGAAATACTAGAATGATTTGTCTGATTTTGTGCCCCATAATTACTAATTTTTTTTCCTTCGTGGGTGGCTTAGACCACCAACGAAGACCCGTGAATTTCCAATAAAAAATATGGGGCTTTTGTTGTTGCTGTTTTTTTTTTTTTCTTCTCTTCGCCATAACGATGCCAAATTGGTAATCGGATGAAATTCAGGCTAGCTGAAAAGATGTCAAAAATAGACAAGCGAAGCAAGGAAAAGAAGGTAAATAAGAGATAGAGAAGCTGAAATGAAAACGCTGAGACATTGCTGCCAAAGATTAAGAGACATAATTAGCTCAGCATCCTGACAGAAAACAAACCAAAACAAACAAAAACGTGAAGTCTCCTGCCTGGAAACGATTCACTGGGAGACGGTGCCTGAGAGTTGGCTTGGAAAACTGTGCGGCCCTCTAGAGAAAAAGGGTGTATCCAGGTTTTTTTCAGGGGAGAGGGGACCAACTTGGGCACTCGGTTGAAGTCAATGGTACGTGCAGTACACGTGGTAAAATAACTTTTCTCAGATACTAAATCAAATCTTATACTTGACCTGTAACGTGAAACGCAAGTTTGATTTTTAAGGTACAAACTGAAAGCGACGCTTAAGAGGTTATTTCAATTTCCTGGTAGTTAGCTAAAAAACGTTAAGACTGAGATCTTTGGTTTTGAGGGTAAAATTAAATATAGGGGCCTAGAACCACAAAATATGTCGCCAATTGGTTGTCTTTACACTAGGCTGTTAAATAAGACTTAAGAGCTGCAAAGTTTTACTTAACCAAAAATTCGTGTGTGAAGGCCTAAGTAAAATCTCAAATAACTTTACTTTGCATCTCATTAAATTCGGAAAGTTGAAACGATTCAAGAAAGTTTCAAGCGACTTGAAAACCATCCTTAAAACCGACTTGGCTGGCTTGCGGTTTCTTGAGCTTTGAGATAGGCCAAACATGTCAATCAATCTTAATCATGTTGCGTGGGAAAAAAACCTTAATTAACCTAGAGTAAACAAGAATCGGCTGTGTGTGAAGCTTTATTTTACTTGAAGTAATTAAAATTTACTTGTCTTGAAATATTTCTTAGCTTATTTAGGCTCTATTATCTTCAAATGTCCCTTTCTTCTCAAAAGTGAAATGCCTTCTCAAAGGTTACACAAAGTTACCACATGTTGACTGTATTGCCCCAAAGATTCTGAGGATTGATAGAACCTGTAAAAGTGTCAAAGCCAAGCACAACATGGCCTCTTACTTTATTACATTCCTTTATTCGTAAAACTGGGGACATAATTAACCTCCCTCCCCGCTCCCACCCCACAAAAAAGGGACTCTTTACGGGAATTCTAAACCTGAAGCTACCTATCAGTAAACTGTTAACCAAACAAAATACTTTGCATTTGTACATTTCCATGCTTGCTATCTATAAACACAGGAAAGGATCAAAATCCTTCTGCCCGCACTGTCCTTGTTACCACTCAGCAAGATTTCACTCAGCTTTCACCCCTGATCCACATCTTGACGGAAGCATTGGTACCAACACATCTGCAATTTCATCCTCGACTTCCCCAGAGATGAGCACTAATTCATACCTTCCTTTACATTCCCAACAACCTTCTAAGATTTCCCTCAATTTGCGATAAAACAGGACTACCTATTGAAACAAAAGGGTTAAAAGCATTTTGAGGGAAATTAATAATAATACTGTGGGGGTGCTAAACAGGAGTCTTTGTCTGGTTTTTGGGGGAACCAAACTTTTAATTGTTGAATTTTTTTTTAATTAACCAAAATTTTAATTATTACAATTTCGGTTACTCCAAAAACCAGACAAATACTCCTGTTTAGCACCCCCACAGTACACCCCAATTGCTCCCCTTCCAAACTTTGCGTAAGCATTGTTTAAAATTTTTCTTAGGAGTTATCGTAAATCCTCTATAAGCCCCCCCGGGTGGGGGGGTATTTATCTCAAACCCATTTAAGGGGGGCTCAATAGAGATGGGGGGCTTATTTAATTTAGTACAGTTGATGGTATCAGTTCTCCATAAAGAACTAGAATCCAAAGTGGAAAAGCTCGGCATCAGAAGTTAGAGGTCGTGCAGCCGAGGATCAACAACAAATCTGAGGGGTGAATACTTTTAGTAAACCATCCATCCCAGGATCAGTCCACATAAAAGTTTACAGTCACAATTGATTACTGACACTGAAGAATAATTAAAGGAGGGAAGGGGGGCTTATTAACTTTCTTCCCCTGAAAAGGAGAAATGGCCTTTAAGTCATTGTTTTGTTTCTCCGATGGACTGTTTAAAGTAGTGGTTGCATAATTGTACCACGCAAATGACGTTTTTAGAGTTACAGTTGATGTGATATGGACAATAAGTCTGGTTTCACCTGTAGATTGGAATGTGCATGAAGTTTGTCCGTCAGAAATGTATTTGACTTGTATTTGTAATACTGAGAAAGTATGTGAAAGAGAGAAGCATACCTCATCGAGAGAGGCAAAGCTCTTGAACCGTTAGGTATTTTAATACCTACATTTCATCTTTCGTTGTAATACATTCCTTATTTCTTCCATTTGTATTTATTTATACTATTTTTACATTTCAAATTTCTTTCATATCATAACTTCAACAGTTATTGTTTCCATATACTTTCAAACTTCACTTTCTCCTTATTTAAAATTTTTATGTGTTACTATAGTATCATATGTAAAATCAGTCTTGCTTCTTTCCATTTATATCCATTCCTTCTGATAGAAGATTATGTTTTCATAAGGAATCACCTAGAGATTTTAGGAGGGAGTCAATACAAGGAGAGAGGTTTATTATCCAAAATGTTAATTTCTGAACGGGGTCACCCCAGGAAAGATTTTGTGAACGGTTCTGGCCAAAAACACCTCATCGATGGGAGCAGGGGTTTGATATTAAATGGAATGGCCCATTGGGGGCAGTGGAGAGTGCTACATTTTGCTACAAAAGGAAAGGCTATACGAAATAATATCTGATTAACTTAAAATGTTTGTATGTTGAATTAATTAAGTTACCTGTTCATCTCGCTCTTGGCGACTCAGTCCACACTCTGGGTGCTTAGACATATCGTACAGGGACATCAATGGGGTGGCATACTCCAGAACCAAGTAATGGGGATCTTCACCAGAGCGTGGCATCTCTATCTGGTGCACGGTGTGCTGGTAGCGTCGCTTTGATATCCCACCTCGGTGTGTCTCATACGGCACGAGATTTCCAGCACTCTTGATTCTTACGTCTGCCTTGTTAATTTCATTGTAGGTAAAGCAATTTTTTGGAATCAATATGAAGAGCTTTTTCTCGGTAATATCCCACCTGAAATTCGATTGCCCGATATTGTCAACAAGTTTTGGAAGCACCATCTTCAAGTAGCCGAAATAGTAGCTCCAAGCTAGACCATCGGCCACATTTTTGTTTTCTCTCTCGTTGATCTGCGATACTTCCGCGCTAGAAGGTTCTCGCAAACCGACAAGAAACGAAAGTTGAGGGGCCAAGAAGCAGTTCAACGAGAAAAGTATCCAGTATTCTGATCGACAGAAGGTCTTGCAATCTTCGTACAAGGCGTAGTACAAGACAAACGACAACACCGTCAGAAAGGACACAACACCAACGACCAAAATAGAATGGCCGTATCGAAAAGTGAAAGTGGAATTGAGAAGTTTCTTCCAACTTCCTTCGTATCGAGTGTGCCTGTGTCGTCTTTCTTCGTTAACCAGACACACTCTTCGCACTAACTCGCTAAGGATTAAACTTAGGGTTAGAAGAGCGGCTCCAAAGAACAAAAAAAGGATTTCATCTTTGCTTTCCTTGATTGAAGAAAAGGCGATCGCATTTACTANGTAGCTCCAAGCTAGACCATCGGCCACATTTTTGTTTTCTCTCTCGTTGATCTGCGATACTTCCGCGCTAGAAGGTTCTCGCAAACCGACAAGAAACGAAAGTTGAGGGGCCAAGAAGCAGTTCAACGAGAAAAGTATCCAGTATTCTGATCGACAGAAGGTCTTGCAATCTTCGTACAAGGCGTAGTACAAGACAAACGACAACACCGTCAGAAAGGACACAACACCAACGACCAAAATAGAATGGCCGTATCGAAAAGTGAAAGTGGAATTGAGAAGTTTCTTCCAACTTCCTTCGTATCGAGTGTGCCTGTGTCGTCTTTCTTCGTTAACCAGACACACTCTTCGCACTAACTCGCTAAGGATTAAACTTAGGGTTAGAAGAGCGGCTCCAAAGAACAAAAAAAGGATTTCATCTTTGCTTTCCTTGATTGAAGAAAAGGCGATCGCATTTACTATGTGGACAGCACCACTGACAGCGACCACAAGGAAAGCGCCGAAAACAGCACCGCTCCCACGAGGTTTCGAAAGTGGTCCAAATCCATTATTTGGCGGTTGGGAATCCATTTTGTGGGAAATGGGAAAACTGAAAATACTTGATTGGAAATCTGACTTTTGACGAGTTGTCGAACTGTCCTTATGCGGTCTATGAATCAGTTAAGGGAATCGGATCCCCTATTCTTCGCAAGTCTTGTGATTGGCTTAAAGCTACGCCATCTACCGTGAAAAAGCCTACAAACAGAAATCTGTTTTTTTTTTTTTTGGACAAAAATAAATTGCATTGATTTTTTTAGCCACTGTTAGTGCCAGTGTGTAAATTCCACAATCTTCAGCCTGCGATCTTCTAAAAGTATCACAACGCTGCATGCACAAGTCTAAAAAGTGCCTTATCCAAGATCATTCTAAGTAACCTCAAAACCTGAAAAGTTTACAGGAAACCTTTGAAGGTAAATCAGGGGCACCCAACGGCACTTTTCGGGAAAATATCTGTTCGGAAGACGATTTGAGATCTAGAATTTTCGCAGCATTTGTTGTAAAATTTCTTGCTTGCCTGCCTCTCCTAGGATTTTCGAACATCTACAAAATGGTATAATTACTCATTGTTAACGGATTTTGACCCTAAAAAAGGCCACCTAGAATTTTCGGGAGCCTTTTCCTGGCTGAAATTTTCGAGAAGATAAGTTTTTATCCCTATAATTTTCGGATCACTAGATTTTCAGCTAGGAAATCCGAACAGATGAAAAGTTTCTAGGGGATAAAAATATGCCTGTATATCTACCGTTTGAATACTAAAATACGTTCAACAATGTTATGTTAAGTGGTTTTGAACTATATCCTCGTTGGGTGCCCCTGGTAAATGGAATAGTTGGTATACTGTTGTTTTTAAACATGAGTTTGCAAACATAAGTCACTGTTTGAAGAGCAGACACGGGTAATCACACATACCTAGAAAATTGGGGATCGTGGAAAATTTTGATCTGATCTTGAAATATTGTGAGCTGAATTTGAGATGAATTTTATGATCTCGAAGCCTCATTCTTGCCTGTTTTTTCCTTAATTAACAGACTGTTGAACTTTTTACCACAAGTCTTAAGGACTTGTTTTACAATAAGACTTCATATTAAAAGACAGTCATTTATAAACAAAACTGTGTTGTAAGTTTATAATAGGTGGTTTTCACGTTACGTCATCAACGCCATGCTGGTGGACGGTAAACAAAAGATCACTCATTAGCTCGCTTTGTTTGTTCACCAGCATTTGTTCATTTCACCATTGTTATTTGCGTCTCCCGAGATTGCATGAAAACCACCTATACACTGAAATTGGCTAATCCTGACACCTAAACAAACTTTATTGTTCATTATGAGCAGCAGAGCATCAAGAAGGCAAATGAGAATATTATTCACAGACTAGAAAATCACTTACCTATCCTAAAAAATAACACGTAAACAAATTTGGAGGTTTACTGATTCTCTTAAGCCATGATCTGAGTTTGTTTATGTGTAAAAAAAACGGCAGCTTTTTCTGTCTCAGAAAGGTTCAGATTTAACCATTTCCTAACACCAGTGTTTGCCCTAACATGAATTTTAGCTCAGCGGGTAAGGGACTATTCAAGCACTTTCCTTGGGGGCCGGAGGGGAGGGGGTAGTGGAGTGAGGGACATGGCCTCACCCTAAGAGGAGTTAAGCTCTTTGAAACGTCATTCCCCCATTGTAAGATTAATTTTACGGAAATCAGGCATTGTTATCTTTAGACAACAATTTTGAACGTTTGATCCCAATAATTTTACCCTGCCTTCAACGTTCTTTTTCCAAAATGCAGGCCCTTAAAAATGAAAGCTGTGTATCTTTACGGTACTTTTCCATATAATTTATTCATTCATTTCCTTGATCGGATTGGANTCTCAGAAAGGTTCAGATTTAACCATTTCCTAACACCAGTGTTTGCCTTAACATGAATTTTAGCTCAGCGGGTAAGGGACTATTCAAGCACTTTCCTTGGGGGCCGGAGGGGAGGGGGTAGTGGAGTGAGGGACATGGCCTCACCCTAAGAGGAGTTAAGCTCTTTGAAACGTCATTCCCCCATTGTAAGATTAATTTTACGGAAATCAGGCATTGTTATCTTTAGACAACAATTTTGAACGTTTGATCCCAATAATTTTACCCTGCCTTCAACGTTCTTTTTCCAAAATGCAGGCCCTTAAAAATGAAAGCTGTGTATCTTTACGGTACTTTTCCATATAATTTATTCATTCATTTCCTTGATCGGATTGGATCACAACTTGTGTATTTTTTAAAACTACATAATATTTAATTTTAGTAAACCTTCAAGCAGTTGTAGGCAGTACGAAAAGTGTTGCTTCAGGCAGTACATTTTGCCAGTTACCGCCTGATAACGAGAACATTGCAACACTATGACTACTAGTACTATTTTCTTAACGAAGCCTAAAGGCTTTAGTCAAAGAGCATGATCATGTCATTCCTTGCAAATAAATTGAGATAACATTATAGTTGTTAAAATTTAAGAATTATTACCATATAAACAGCAATGTTATCAACGTGCATATGCCACAGAGGGGATTGGAAATTCCAAGCAATGTGGGTGTGTTCTCAGTGACTCACAAATTTAATAAGTACCTATGAAGCTAAAATTAAAAGGATATTTTCTGGAACTACACAAAATTATTTATTTTATGAAATTCTCTTTATTGTTTCAAGCTAGGAGGGTACACAAAACAGTGTTACCAGGGCTGTCACTAATTATTAGAGCGGTCATAGCTAATAAAGATTCACCTGTAACATCTCCCCAAAACTTTAAAGTGTCACCTTTAGCTTCCCATTTTGATCACCCATAACATCAAGTGAGCTGAGCTGTAACAGGTGTTACAGGTTAGGGTCCTTAACGACAGCTCTGATTACATCCATCAAGACCCAGGGCGGGGAGGGTTCTCTCATAACTTTTGGATAGGTATGTGCCATCCTGGGTCTTTTAACCCTGACCCTGTTGAAGGATGAGACAACACCCAAGAGAAAAATAACAGATAAGAATTAAATGCCAGATGCCAACCTTCATTAAATCTCTTTCATAATACTAATTTTCAATAGATATCTAGGCATCACACTAAGAAGACAATGCCAACAAGGGAAAAAATGATATCCTTTTTGAGGATCAAGACCTTAAAAAACCATACCCTATCAGACAGTTGGCACATACCTTAATCTAGCCTATACCATATACTGTGAAACCTCTATAAAGTGGACACTAAGCCGGGTCCGAAACGAATGTCTGATATTTCCCTTTATAACAAACCCCTATTCAGCGGACACTAAAATAAATAATTTGTATTTGGCTGATTTCTATTGTTAAAAACTTCTATTAAGCAGACACCGAACTGAATTGACAATAGTAGTACTGAATTATGTCTTAGGAATATGTACTGAAGTCAGTTTATGTTTCTGCATTTACAAATGAATTAAAGTTGGTAATGAAAGGTAATGAACTTGAACTCTGGATAGCTTCTTTAACAACATGCAACTTTTTCACAATACAGAGTAACCGTTGAAATGTTGATCGTTAACAAACATTGCACAATTTTTACAAGCCTCTATTAAGCAGACGCTTGGGAAGGTTCTGAAGGTGTCGGCTTAATAGAGGTTTCACTGTTTTAGAGTACCCACCCCACCCTCCACCCGGGGCAACAAGAGTACTGTGTTTGTCATCAGGTATCCATTCCAATTAATATTCAGATGGCATCTTAATCTTCCATCTGAAAGTTTGGATCCTGGTGCATCCGTACCAACACATCTGCAATTCTATTTTGATCTCCATCATCCCTTGGAGCTCTTTCTCCTGAGATCGGCACTAATACATACTTCCCTTTACAGTCTTTACAACCGTCTAAGATTTCTCTTAATTTGCGGATAAACAGCACCACCTACAACAACAAAAATAGCAAGTTACAAATTATTAAGATAAACTATAACTTTGAGATGAAGGGTGCAATGGTAAGATTATAAAAATTATTGAGGGTGCATGGTTGCCTATAAGACATTTAGCAAAGAGCTTGTCTTGTCATAATTACCAAAACATCCGAAGTTAACGATTAACCTTTAACCCTTACTATTATCCTTGATTTGATCAAGAAGTTAATGCATTTATTCAAGCTGACTGAGTATAGTTGCCCTCTGGAACTTAAAAACAGTGAAAAAGACGAGCTGGTGATAATAACAAAAGTGGTTGCACTGAGTTGCTAACAGTACTGGTTGTTTACAAGAGCTTTTCATCACAAAGCTTAAGTTACAGTTCAAATGGCATTTCACAATGCTGGATGTAACTTAGACCTGGGGAGTGGTCTTAAGGAGAGCATAGTTAGTGATACAGACCATGGAGTAGGGCATTGCATGTTCCATTTAATATTATATCCACACCCCCTGTAGAAAAGGTTTTCTGATGGGGTCACCTGAGAGGTTTCTGATATAATCAGTGCTCAGAGAGATGTTTCTATGAAGGGGATCAATTATTATCAAAAATGTCAATTTCTGAAGAGTGAAAACACCAAAAATAAATTTCTGGAGAGACAAGAGTAGTGTTACATCATTCATTAATGGTGAATACATTGCACAATTCTTCTGATGAGGAGTTGTCTCTTTCACAAAATAGGTTTTACAGCAATAACATTGCCATATTTTCTCAGGGGTATATGTGACAAAAATAATCCTTTTTCTGAGGGATTCTAAGAATTAAAGCTAATTTTTACCTCTGGAAAAATTTTCTGCAGGGGTATGGCCAGAAGCACCTCATTAATAATGGGAGGGGTTATGAATACTAACGGAATGGTCCATTGGCGGCAGGGGAGGGTGCTACGTTTTGCTATGAAAGGAAAGGCTATATGAAATAATGTTTGGTTAACTTACAATGTTTGTATGTTTTTATTAAGTTACCTGTTCATCTCGCTCTTGGCGACTCAATCCACACTCTGCATGCTCAGACATATCGTACAGGGACATCAGGGGGGTGGCATACTCCAGAACCACATAATAATTATCAATCTCTCCATCTGGGCGTGGCATTTCTATTCGGTGTACGGTGTGCTTATAGGATCGCTTCAATATGCCACCTCTGTTAATGTCATATGAATCAAGATTTCCTGCAACTTTTATTCTAGGGTCGGCCTCCACAATCTTGTCGTACGTGTAGCAGTTTTTTGGAAGCAATATGAAGAGCTTTTTCTTTGTAATATCGTACTTGTAATCTGATTTTCCGATCTGTCCTTCAAGATGTGGTAGCACCAGCTTCAAGTAGCCAAAATAGTAGCTCCAGGCAAGGCCATCGGCCACATTTTTGTTTTCCTTCTCGTTGATCTGCGATACTTCTACGCTGGAAAGCTCTCGCAAACCGACAAGAAACAACAGCTGAGGGGCCAGGAAGCAATTCAATGAGAAAAAAATCGCATATTCTGCACGACAGAAAGTGTCACAATCTCGGTACAAGGCAGAAGACACTATCAGAAAAGACGCAACCCCAACGACCAGAATAGTGCGGCCATACTTGAAAGCGAAAGTGGAATTGAAAACTTTCATCCAACTTCCTTCATATCGAGTTTGCTTGTGTCGAATCTCTTCAATCCCCAGACAGACTCTACGCACCACCTCGCTAAAGGCTAAACTCAGAGTTAAAAGAGCGCTGATAAAGAGCAGAAAGACGAATTCGTCTCTGCCCTGTTGGTTTCCGGTAGAATGGGCGATCTTCAAATGGACAACTACAGAAAAAGAAACCACGATCAAAGCAGCGAGAAGCGAGGCTTTTCCGCGAGGCTTTGAAAGTGGACCGAACCCATTATTTTCCTGCTGACGATCCATTTTTTTTAGGTAAACTGAAAATTTTAAGTTGGTTTACTGCCACTGGGACAAGATGTCTGCTTCTCTGTTTGTCTTCGTAAAACTGATGAAAAATAGGTGTCCTCTTGCAGCTGTTTACAGCTCACTTTTGTGAGAATTCGGGGAATCCCCAGGTTTCTGATCAGTGATTGGACGCAGTCTACGTCATCATCCATGATCTTGAAAATAAAAAGTGCTTGAATAAGCAGCTTTCACTTTTGAGTTACCGGTATAATTCCCCATCCATTCGAAAAGAATATTTTGGCAGACAAGCGGGTTAATAATTTAATAAGCGAGCCGCCGTAACTGATACATCAAGCTGGAACATTCAGGAGCATTATTGCATCGGACTCATATCAGATAACAGCTTCACGCTCCTAAAGAAATTTAGCGCCTCACAAATATTTGGCGCCAAACCGGTGTTCGTGTGCATGTGTGCGCCATGTTTGAAAATGACAACGAAAGGTAAAGCTGTCAAGCCAGTTATTTACATTTCAAGCAGCGATGAAGATGAGGAAGACACACCGCCATCAAAAGCCAGACTGCCATACAAAGTCAAGAAAGAAAATGTAAGCAACGGGATCGTTCAAAAAACGGAGACTGTTATTTTGAGCTCTGACGACGAGCTCGAGAAGACGCCTCAGAAGATATCGCGTCCATCTTTTGTCAAAGAAGAGCCAGATTTCCAAGTGTCTACCTCGAAGGCTCAAAATGAAACCAGTCCTTGGAAAAGTTTGAAGTTCAACCAAAATAATATCAAGATACTTCAAGCGAACGTGAGGTTACAAAAGTTGAATTTTGGAAATTTATCGAACGCAAGCATCGATAAAACTGAAAATCACGATGTCATGCCTGTGCCCACCGCATCTTGTTCAAAGTCTCAGGTAAGCAGCTCTAAATTAAGGAAAATCCTCTTAGTATTACCTGAGGGCAAAAGAAACGGCTATACCTATTCAAAGATCAAGCGATTTCTAGAGGGTTTTAAATTTAAGTTTATTCACCAGGGACAGGAGGGACGGGCCGGGCCCGTCATGCAGTCAAAGTGCATGGTAATTTTAAAGTAAATGTACTGGATTTACCGTTTGCGTCATTTGACTTCATATGTAGCGGTATATCATTAAATATGTGCATGGATCAATGCTAAATAAACGTTGTGTTGCCTTACTTACAAATGTCGTCCTGGTATTTTGAGCCATTTACTGTTCCTCTTAATAGAAGGACAAGGGTGGAATCAATTTTTTGAACGGCTTCAGTGCCGGAGCAATTTTCTCTTTCAAAACTCACAGCAGAAAGGCTGAAAGATTCACACTTCTTGTACGATCTGATCGAAAATCCATCCAAAAGGCCTAGGACTAGCACGGGAGGAAATTAAAATCTCACAGTTTTTGAATGGTCAAAATGCAAGATTTACATATGCCAGCCAGAAAACTGTCCTGCTGATTTCTTCTGTTTGATTGGATATCGTTAACCAAATGGTTCAACAATAACTGGTGTTAAGCAGACTTGGTAAGTGATCATTGCTTAACGGCATCCAATCAAAAAGAGACGATCAGCAGAATGGTTTCTGGCTGGCACATGTAAATCTTGCGACGCATTTTGACCGTTAAAAAACTGTGAGATTTTAATTTCCCTAGGCCTTTTGCATGGATTTTTGATCAAAAGGTACCAGAAAGAAGTGTGAATCTTTCAGCCTTTCTGCAGCAAGTTTTGAAAGTGGAGCAATGCAATTTTCTGGGGTAAATTCACTCCGACGCTGGAGCCAATTAAAAAATTTTTTCCACCCATGTCCTTCTGTTAAGAGGAACAGTAAACAGCAAACTCAAAATCTTTCAAAATGGCTCAAAATGCCATTTCTGAGGCAAAGGGACAACAAGTTACCATAAGTAAGGCAGCACAATGTTTATTTAGCATTGATCCATACACATATTTAACGATATGCCCCTACAGATGCATCAAACGGTAAATCCAGTACATTTACTACAAAATTACAATACAATCAGTTACACAAACAGACTGTGTGGGTCCCTGTGGTGACACCACGGGAAGTCATAAAAATAAAAAGTCTCTACTTGATCTAGTCGTGTACAAGAATGGGCTCTTGAAGCCAAAGTTCAAACAAGATTCCTTGATGCTGGTCATAATGCAGGTATCAATGTTTAGACAGAGAGTAGGGGTATGGGCATAGGTGTGACATTTGAACACTTCTTTGTCCCCTCTCTGAGGATTTAACCCTGCAGAGATCTGGGTCCTAAACTCGTGTTCTAGGAAAAGTCAAAGTGATTACTCTTTTCTATAATGCAATACTGCTAAAGCTTTCCAACTGGTATTGAGTATATTAATATGGTTGTTCGAAGAATATTGCAATTCAATTTTGCTGAAACCAGGGCTGGATTTTCAGCATTTTTAAATCATTGAAGTGAATGATTAAAGAAGCAGTTTCACTGTTTCATTAAACGTTTACATTGATGACCTAAACACAGTTTATTCACAAGGAGTAAGCAAATGATAAATTGTCTAGGTTTCCAATGGCCAGATGGATTCAATTTTGAAATATTTTGACATGTAATTGGGTGAACTTCATACTTCTTCAATCTACTGTACCTTTTATAATGTACAGTCGTTGGAAATGTACATTTCAAATTGCTCCATGTTTACTTTTAATACATGTCATTACACAGTTTTGTTATTCCCAGGTAGGGATATTCTATCAATTTTGAACTATTTGCCAGCCCCAAGGGTTGCGTGTTTGACCAAAAAATAAAAACAATTCAAATGCCACACCTATACCTGTATCCCTTCATCTCCTTCCAAACATTGATACCTGCATAACTAGAACTGGTTTCTTTCAAAAGTGGTTGCAAGGAGAGTTTCCGCTGCATATTTTTGACCAAATATATGGAACTTATTTATGTGTCTCAAGGCTGATTTCACTAGTGAAAGAGTTGGAGTTGTAAATAATCAGAGTTGTCTAAGAGTTCTTTATCATCTAGTGAAAAACAAGAATCAGAGTCATAAGCTTGATAGATTTGGAATTGTTTCCATTTTCTTCTGAGTCTGCTTATGACTCTTCAGGTTGCCCATAATCTAGTGAAGATTACACAATAGAGGTGAATATTACACACGCTGTGACTGGTCATTGCCTATGATTTATTATAGGACAAACACATGGATGACATCATGGGAACCTTGTTTCTTTGTTTTATTGAACATGGCACATGCTTTTAAAAATGTTTGCAAGATTATTTCAGATTAAGTGTAGGCCTTGAAAAACATTTAGCAATAGCTAATGTATTTACATAGAAGGGAAATTAAGTTAGAAGGGAAAGTTGTTGATGTCTTGAAAATTCCTAAACTGGAAGTTGCCATTGTATGTCATTGTTTCAAGAGACTCGCACTTTTGAAAAAATGTTTGCAATTATTCTGCTTTAAGCGAGTGAAGGCATTAAAAACTTTTTGGATAAACTGGATACAAGTAAGACAGAAGAAGCAGAAACGAAAAATAGTGTTTGTGACTTAAAAAACATCTAAACTGACACAAACCCTGAAATAGTAAAGCAGTACAATGCATGTCAGGCAAGTGTCGTTTTTTCTTTTCTGTTTATAACATTATTCTGTGTAAAAAGAATAGATTCCATTTTGCCGTGGGTTTGTTCAGCAAAGGATTACAGACGACATCAAAATGTGGTGAAAACATCCCTGACACACTCACCTTTGGCTCATGTGTCACTTCTTTGTTTTTACCACAATGTGATGTCATCTGTGATCTATTACTGAGCAGAGCTTGTGAGCTTGTCAGGGTTGATCTCATGAGTGGACAGGTCTGCATGGGTGGTCATATCACTATTGTGTGGACAGGCATATTAACATGCACAAGATTGCATGCATTTTGATTAGAATCCTTGGGTGTTTTCTTAATTTTGTTTGGTCACTTGGATTCAAAAGGATAAGAAATAAAATAAATAATACTTGAAACTAGGGACTTAGCACCATTTTTGGTGAACCTAAAGGCATGTTCTAATATGTTCACATTTTATTATATATTATTTATTTATGCACCATTTAAAAAAGTATGGGATGTGGTTCCAGGTACTAATATTACTATTACTAAATGAGAACTCTAATTCATAAATAGGGTGAGATGGCAAAAGATGAGTCGAGTGAAGTGAGCTGCAGGCAAGTTCCAGGAATGGGAATCTTTGAGTCAATAGAGAGTAGATTTCCTTCAACAAAGCTTAAAAGATCAAAAAGCCCTTCTTCACCTTCGCTTAAACAAACTGTGATCACTCAAGAAAGTTTTTCACCTCCAAAAAAGCCTTCTCTGTACAGATGTATGAGGCAAGAGCAACCTTTACACTATTCCACGCCTCTTTGGTGTTCAGTTCAGATGCAAGGACCACAGATGGACAGTTCCAAAGATTTTACTGAAAACCAAATGAATTCTCTGCAAGCTCTGAAGGAAGAAAACTTTCATAAAACTTACTTGCACACAGTCACAAATTTTATGAGCCAGTCCCGAAAGCCACCTGTAGAAGTTTTGTTTCACATTTTACATAACATCCTGCTTTCAAAGCAAAATAACTGTGGTAATGAATGCTTTAGAATTCTCCGGCAAATCCAGGTCTTACACCCTGTAATGGCTATGAGGATGGTTAATTTGAAAATCTCTTGGGAACACATTTCCATGATGGTGGAACTCTCTAGATGCATTGATGACATGTCACAAGAAAGTAGTCAGGCACTAAGTGCATCTATGGCCTTGTCTTTTGTTGTAAACGTTATGGAAGAGGAGGTTAATGTCAAGAGATTTAGCCTTGTGAAGACCTCAGGTTATAGACTCCTATCAGTCAAGCATTTCAGCACTCATATTTTTGAATTGGTTCAGTGGATTGGAGATGCCACAAAACATCCACATAAAACCAAGAATTTGTTTTTGCTGCAGAGAATGCTATCATTGTCATTGTCAGTGAATGAGCAACCAGAGGACTTTGCAGGTAGGATTGCTGATGAGTTGTTTCTTGTCTATAACTGGCAGCTTCAGTCAACTGAAGAGAAAAGTCTTCTTCTCCAGTCAACTCAATCACATTTGCTGAGGATGAAGTTGATTGAAGTTATTCTGAGTAATTGTTTTCCTCCTCAAGAGGAACAGGATATCAGGGAAGTTCCCAGAATGGGACTTGCACATATTATTTTTGTTGACTTTCAGCGCAGTCCAGATGCAAATAACTCTGATCACGTTGACTTGATTGATCACTGTGAAGTGTTCATCATGCTTCTGGCATATCTTCTTCAAAGCTTTCTTTTTTGTCGCAAAAGATCTCTTCAGAAAAACTCTTCTGATTCACTGCGAATCATGTCAATGGATGACACAGATTCTTTACTTGAAATTGATTCTGAAGTTACAAGACTGAGGGAACGTCTAGAAAACATCTGCAGTCCATCACAGTTGTCCTCAAGGAGCTACCAGTTATTGGATTTAATGTCATCACTCAGAAGTTTTGCACAAAAGCTTCCATAGTTGCTGAAGTAAATATGACTTGGCCAAGGTTCCTTAAAGGATGGTTAACCCAAACCAGAACCTAGGATAAAGTTAAATTTCCAAACAAATTTTCTTGTCAAGTAATATGTAAATTGAACATTTCCTAACCTTAAAATTTACTCAGAGACTCAGTGGTAAGGTTAACTTACAATGACAGTCCTTGAGAATCTGACAGAAGTAAACCCATTTATTTATGGGTTAAAATTTTAACACTCACTGGGTTTGGGCTAATCAGTCTTCAAGGAACAGGGTCCTGAATTTTCTTGTAAGTCAGTCTTGATTGATCATAATTTTTTAGTTATTATTTGTGTTGCTGATGTGATCCTTGGTGGTGCAAAAACAATATTGTTGAAATATGGTTTGTTTGCTGTTTGCATTTGTTGATCAAAACTTCTGCAATCCAGTTAATTAGCAGGATTGATGTTTTTTGTTCAAAGAATAAAGTGCAGAGGTTTTGACTAGCAAAAGTATGCAATACTTGGAACCATATTGTATGCTACCTACAGTTCTCATGCTTTATTATCTGGTATTTGGTATGCGGTATTTGCGATAATGATTGGAGATGTCTCTACAAGTATGCTTACGAAACTTAATCCATACATTTGTATAGCAAAGAATGTATTCCCCCATGGATTGAATTAACAGACTTGACTGCAGTTGCTTGTACTGCACTAGAAGCTCTTGTCAGCTGTTTGCACATGTTACAACTAACATTTGTCTTTTCAGGGTCTAAAAAGTAGATAAATTAAATGAAAGTATGTGAACACATGAAATCACCAATTAAGTCCATCTTATTGTAACATTGGAAGTTATGTTATGTTAAAAAAGCATTTTCAAGCTCATCTCAAAATAGATCATGAAATTTTCTGAGAAGAGGTAGTACATGGATTTGCATGGGAAAAAAATATTGGAGACCTTATTCATGAATACAAATAGAGAGGAGAAGTCATTATGTTACATTGCCATGGTAGCAGAATTTCTGAATGACGACAAACCAAAAATGTTTCTTAAAAAGTGAATTTGCACTATTTCAAACTTCATCGATCCTATTCAGTTCTGTTTAATCTGTCAATTGTTGGCGAAATGTTCTGGAGTTGAATCTGATATCAAAGTTTAGAAAACGAAAAAGAAAATTTTTGTGTTTTGTGTACCTACTCCATAAAGCTGGCATGTGAAATTAGGAAGTTTCATGGCTAAGAAATGTAATGAATAGGAAACCTATTCTTTTTTGCAGTTTTCATTGCCCTTGCCGTCGTTGTTACTAAAGCTCCCTATCGTTGTGATCCAGAAATTTTGCTACCATGGCGACATGACGTCACACTTCTCCTCTCTATGCTTAAGGGTGGACTGTACTACTACAAAACTGAGAGATGTGTCATGCCGCAAAATAGCTAAGCAGGACAATCTACTCTTCTACTGGTGTCTGCAATGTTCTTTTATAATAATATTTTATTATTAGAGACCTTTAAATTCGAGGACAAAATTTGTCTTAAACGTGGTTCGTACAATCTTGAAAAGGTCTTGAATTTGGTTTAGGTCCTTGAAAACTACTTGATTTCTCTATTAGGTCTCGAAAAGTCCTTGAAATTCATAACCTTGTCTATGCTAGACACCGTTTTCTGTAAAATTAGATTATTTTGCCGAGGAAATTTGGCTCATCCTCAGTGTAAGAACCTGTAAAACTCACGGGTAACGTAAAAACATTTTTGTGCATGAACAATATTTTATTTCTGTTTCTTTATTTCAAATGCTTTTTCTGTACCTCAGATGCAATGCAAGTCATACCCATTCATTTTTAAAGTCTTGTTGCGAAAAGTAGTATAAAATAATGTAATCAATGATGGCCGAAGAAGTAAAAATTGTAAATGACTCCATGATGAGTTTAAGCCAATGGGGTGATCAATGGGGGTTAAAGAATGCCGATTTATTAAATAAATCTTAGTCCTTAAAAACAGTAATTTGTCTTTGAAAATCCTTGAAAAGTACTTGAAATGTGTTTGTCTAAAGTTGCACCAACCATGTTAAAGTTTTTTTACGTATACTTGCAAAATAGACACCTTGGAAATCTCTATTGTACTTTTTTTCACCAGACAAGTTGGCACTGCTGTCTTCTTTATTGAAGGAGGTTAACCCATCTCCCAATCAGTAAATGACAAAACTTCAAACATTAAATTTTGATAACTTGTTTCCGCCACAAACTTGTAGTAGAATGATGATGGCTACCCCATTTTCCAGTTTAAATGACCCTGGTTCACATGCGCAAAGTATGTTAAGAAAATCTCACTCTCAAGTCTTCCTTGTCTTAGAATCTAAAGGTCTCTATTATAAAAGAAAATAAGACAATATGACAGGTTTAATTCATACATACAAAAGAAAAACACCATTACTGTAATAAAATTTTTCAAATTGTTACATTTAGCATCAATGTATTTGGCTTTAGGGGTACTGATTATAGTAATATAGAATTAGCTAAATGAGATTTATTTATTATATAGAGATTTGCACATAAATGTATTTATTATCTGATGACCAAACTGTACATAATATAGTTATGTTAGTTCATAATCCAAGAGACTTAGTTACGTTATGGTTATCTAATTGTCATTGAATCAATGGTTGAATTTAGGTAGAATGCAAGAAACAGAATTTTTGCAAATTGTTTTGTTACTGAACTGTGGAGTACAAACAATGCTCCCTTTCATATTAAACAATGTTTCTTTTCAAATTTAGTGGAAGTCTTGATTTATCCTTTTTTATGTGCATGTTAAGGGCTATAGCTTTTTAAAAAAGTAAAGGTTTCCTACACAGTTGACTCGCAGTCCACCATTAGATCAGCTTTAAAATTGCTAAGACACTTCACTGGAATAATGCTTGCTCTTTTTTTGGAAGTACAGGGTGTAAGAAAAAAGGAAGAACACTGTCAATGAGGATGTCAGGATAACGTGTGTCAATGTTTTTGCCACAGGCAGGTAGAGCCTGGGAGGTTGGGAAGGCTTTTCCCCATCCTTCTGCCACTTTTTCTGAACTGAAAAAATACAGACTCACTAAGAAGAGAGTCTTCTCAGCCTCCCACTCTTACAATTCATCATACTCAACTATGTTCCACATTTCTGTTGACAAAAGCTCAGAGGTACATTGGCTGCGACCACCATCTTGAGAGCCATAGAAACTAAAGGAAGGAGGGAAGGGGAGAAAAAGAGAAAAACTGGCTGCATGCAAGCATATTTTTTTCTCACCTCCTGCCTCCCCCTTCTATATTTAAACACAAGAAGCTCTCTGCCTGAACTCTCTGTCATTTCCAATTTCCAAATTGGTGAGGGAAAATTATAGTATCATTGTTCGCACTACACAATACGCCTGCTATGCAAGCTACATTTTGATGTACCATTAAGGGTAATAAAGGCAAACATTTTATTGTTACTTTTGTTTATTTAAATAAATCTTTGAGCTTTACAAATAAAACTTGATCTGCAAAATAATACTCTACAGTTTCCATTTAAACCCCTACTACAAAAGAACCCATTTTAGCCAAAAATTTGACAATAACAATTTAAAGGGTTTATATTTACCTCTAGTATATACAACACTCAGTGATCTTGGTGATTCAAGCAATCTGATTAGTTCATTATCTCGGACTATGACATTATATTCACCTCCTTAGGTGGTGAATATGAAGCAAAACAAAATCACTATCATGAACTCAGTGTTTTGCCAAGTTTCAGAGTAAGAACTTTTATAAAATACAAGAATATCCCAGAGTTGATGATTTTGAAGGTAAGAAAAGACTTCATACTGTTTAAACGGCGTGATTTTATTGTGAAGTGATTTACTGTAGTTGACTTTCATACGCTCAAAGCAATGTTTTTATTGACCACTACAGAGGGAATGGAGGACACTTAGTCACTGTTTTGTGAACTCGGGATTTCCTTGCAAGACCAATTTTGCCTGGAAATAGAAGTTAATTTATGGAGGAAAAAAGAAAAGAAAATATTTTTGAAAACTGTACATGCCAGCAAGTTAACATGGCAAGAAACACTGCACTGCAGATAAAGAATGCTCACCTCTATTGTAGCCGCTGCTGACAGCATTTGCAAGAAGCAACAAAAAAACTGTCTCATTCACAGTGAGTTGGCAGAAGCAAAAAAAAGGTCTGTGTTTCTTCTCAGAAACTTTCAACATTTTCTTTTCAATCATTGATGCTAAAGCTTACAAAAAAATTAAAACTAGGATTTACCAAGTTTGAAAATACTGTAAAGATTCACTTGTTGCCTTGTGCTGTTTACGGCTACAAGTTCATGCATGAATTCACCCATGGCTCAAACTAATCGTTTTTTTCATGGTTTCCTTTCTGATTCTGTTGAGATCACTTCGTGTGTATATACTAAAACAATAAAATTTTATATTATTTATTCACCTCAGGCTCAGTTACAGTCAAACCAAGTCAAGCGTACCCCCCAAGATTCTATTAATGAATTGATTATTTGAAAAATGAATCCGTTGGTCGTTCCCGTAACTGGTGTCAAATTCAAAGCGGCATTTCTGCATGCGTAATGAGCAATAGTAATATAGAATTAGCTAAATGAGATTTATTTATTATATAGAGATTTGCACATAAATGTATTTATTATCTGATGACCAAACTGTACATAATATAGTTATGTTAGTTCATAATCCAAGAGACTTAGTTACGTTATGGTTATCTAATTGTCATTGAATCAATGGTTGAATTTAGGTAGAATGCAAGAAACAGAATTTTTGCAAATTGTTTTGTTACTGAACTGTGGAGTACAAACAATGCTCCCTTTCATATTAAACAATGTTTCTTTTCAAATTTAGTGGAAGTCTTGATTTATCCTTTTTTATGTGCATGTTAAGGGCTATAGCTTTTTAAAAAAGTAAAGGTTTCCTACACAGTTGACTCGCAGTCCACCATTAGATCAGCTTTAAAATTGCTAAGACACTTCACTGGAATAATGCTTGCTCTTTTTTTGGAAGTACAGGGTGTAAGAAAAAAGGAAGAACACTGTCAATGAGGATGTCAGGATAACGTGTGTCAATGTTTTTGCCACAGGCAGGTAGAGCCTGGGAGGTTGGGAAGGCTTTTCCCCATCCTTCTGCCACTTTTTCTGAACTGAAAAAATACAGACTCACTAAGAAGAGAGTCTTCTCAGCCTCCCACTCTTACAATTCATCATACTCAACTATGTTCCACATTTCTGTTGACAAAAGCTCAGAGGTACATTGGCTGCGACCACCATCTTGAGAGCCATAGAAACTAAAGGAAGGAGGGAAGGGGAGAAAAAGAGAAAAACTGGCTGCATGCAAGCATATTTTTTTCTCACCTCCTGCCTCCCCCTTCTATATTTAAACACAAGAAGCTCTCTGCCTGAACTCTCTGTCATTTCCAATTTCCAAATTGGTGAGGGAAAATTATAGTATCATTGTTCGCACTACACAATACGCCTGCTATGCAAGCTACATTTTGATGTACCATTAAGGGTAATAAAGGCAAACATTTTATTGTTACTTTTGTTTATTTAAATAAATCTTTGAGCTTTACAAATAAAACTTGATCTGCAAAATAATACTCTACAGTTTCCATTTAAACCCCTACTACAAAAGAACCCATTTTAGCCAAAAATTTGACAATAACAATTTAAAGGGTTTATATTTACCTCTAGTATATACAACACTCAGTGATCTTGGTGATTCAAGCAATCTGATTAGTTCATTATCTCGGACTATGACATTATATTCACCTCCTTAGGTGGTGAATATGAAGCAAAATTTTATTGTGTTGTGAGGAAATAGCAAATAAGGCATGAGAAACCTAAACCACAAACAGCAACGGTAATTAGTTTGTGGTTTTGAGGTTTCCTTTCATGTCCTGAACATCATTGTGATTGGTCACCACACAATCAACATATTTCGTAAAATTTTTCATGTGTTCACGGTTTTCTGAGTTTCACAGTAACTTACCTTCGGAGAATAATTGTTAAATATTGTGAGTTTGCATATAAAATGTGTGTGTCAGTGCCAGAGAAACTACTTTTTCTTGCTTAAATAGGAATCCACAGCTTTCCATAAAGCAGTTATGTTGCCAGCTCCAAACCCAGTTGCACCACATCGCTGTATAACCTCCAGAAAGAAGGTGTCCTTATTAAACAATGGTCGTGTAAACACTTGCATCAGATACCTGCAGGAAATTGAAGAAAGTAATTATTTACTCATGTCATGAAAGATATCAATCATCATGGATAATGTGTACAAAGGGTTTAGTTTATTGTTTGTCTCACAATTGTCACTGACATTGATCGTGATGTTTTGACTAATCACTGCAGGTCTTCATCAGGCGATAGTGTTGATTGACTGAGTCCGACTACTTGTACCACCGTGGTCGTTAGTGATTGGTGTATCAGGTACCTCGCTCAAGTCCAATACAACACTAAGATCACACTTAGTATAACCTAAGGATCCTGTTGATTCACAAAAACAAGATGGAGTAGAGTGTAAGATTCCTTGTGCATTTGGCAAAGTATACATTGGCGAAACTGGAAGGTGCATGCATGAAGGGATTAAGAAGCATGATAGGGATACACAGCTTTCACAAACTCAAACTTCAGCCATTTCTGAACATGCTAATAAGACCGGGCATTATCCCCTCTGGGACGAAGTTAAGTTGACCGAGACTGTCACCGGTTCTTCTTGAAGAGTTAAAGAGGCTATCCACATAAGACTTCATCCTAACACCGTCAACAGGGGCAGTGGAATTGAGATTCCTGAAGTGTGGATACCAACAATCACACAACATAACAGCCGATCACTGTCACAGCGGACCTCTGAGGAATCAGTTTCTTCCTCTGACAATACCAACAATGCTTAGGATCGAAAACCCACCAACAATGAGCGAGGAATGTGATACACCAATCACTAACAACCACAGTGGTACAAATAGTCTGACTCAGTAAATCAACACTATCGCCTGATGAAGACCTGCAGTGTGCAGTTGAAACGTCCCGATCAATATCAAAGTGACAATTGTGAGACAAATGATAAACTAAACCCTTTATATACATTTGTAATTTACTCATTTTATAGAAAAACTTTCATGAAATATAGGTCATAAAACATGGTTGCTGCAAGTCCTCAGTTTTCAAAATTCTCTAATCTTCCCTGATAAAAATACAATTTGCCCAACCAAAGAATATAACATTTTACCTAACTTGACAGTGACATTTTGCTTTCTCCATTACTGAAAGATGTCCTTAATAACTTTATTTATATAGCGCTCATATCCTGAGCTTATGGCACTTGAGACCACAGGACCTGAAAAGCCTGAAAAGCTTCTTCCAGCCTCTTCAAAATTTCAATTTTCCCTGGCTCATAATAAAATTCTTTGACTTAAAGAAGTAAATTTTTCTCTGGCCATTTCCTGACCTGGAAATGACCTTTTTGCCCCAAAGCTTCTTCCAGATGGACCAAACCAATCCACTCTGTTCTGGACCAAAATTTCCCAAGGTCTTTAGCCACATGGATCATGCCTGTAACAGAACGAGCGTGCTAAATTAACCCAAATCACTCACTTTGTGTCCTGAGCAGCAGAAGACTCTGTATTTTCTTTTACGATGAAGCTCTCAGCATCTAACAAGACACCATGATTTTGAAGAGACTCCACACACTCACCCACATATTTTATCTCCTGTAATTTGCCTTCCTACAAAACAGGTTTATTTTTAATTAATTTTTCATAGAAACATGATGTTTTTTGAGAATCTTGTTCATGTAAATAAAAATGTCATTACTAACAATGACCATGACAAGTCATTTTGATGCATGTAACATTTTGCTGTTTAGGTCTTTGTGTCTATGAATGTAATCTTAAGGTGACAATACAATACTTTTGCCAACAATTCTTGTCAACTTAGTGTTCTACTTTGTAAACAACAGTTTGGCTAGATTTGGTTCTTTCTCACCCAGATGGTGATTAGCCTCAAACATTGTTTTTGGCAAAATTTTGAGTTGTGAATGGGGCAAGTTTGACAATAAATAAGCATGTCACCACTACATTTCTGCCACAAACCTCAGAGTAATAAGCAGCAGGAGGATCAATAAAT